ATTTGTGGAGTCAGAGGAAAAAGGGCTAGAGATGGCATAAGAAAACCCCAGAATATGCCCAATATCTAAAACCTGAATCCTGGTTCTGATTCCCCTTTGACTAGACAAAATATATGCCTCTCAATATCACTGTTGACTTGAGCTACAGATCACAAGAACATCTACCAGTATTTTTAGTTTTAAATTGCTTTGAGGTATTACTTTAAGGGCATATTCATCTTGCCAATCCCTGGTAAGGAGTGCCATTTGTCAAACTGAATATAGAACAAAAATTAATGTCCCTTAAGGGTGTCAACACACTAACTTGGGCAGAACTTAGGAAAGCTCAGTTAAAGTGTCCCCTCCTCTGTGGCTGACCTGATCATTCCCTCTTCTGTGCTGGCCAAATAGCATCACAGTTGCTGGCTGTTATGGCTGTCTCCCCAGCAGCTGAGATTCTACTGGGCAGAGACAATGTCTTATTTATCTTTGGATCTCTAGTAACTTGTGCAGTGTTTTGTAATCAGCACAAATCTGTGCCCTGATTCACTTAATCAGAGCCAAATGTTACATGAGATTCCCACCCCAATTCTGAGTATGCTCTGAAGTGTGTTACCATTTCAAATCTCCTTATCTTTAGAGTCTGATGAAAATAACCTAAATAACTCAGCTCCATGATCTAGTGAAACATTTCCTGTGCCAAGTACTGTTCTAAGCACATCACACCTTTTATCTCATGGAGGTCTCATGGTAACCATACGCAAGCACTGTTATTCCACACATTTTACATGGGAGGAAACTGGCACAAAAGAGTGGAATAACTTGCCTGCGTGATGGAGCCTTATTACTCCCCAGGCCTCCCACCTCAGGGGCAGCAAGGACAAGGAATCACTTCTCTTCCCAAAGGCTCAGTACTCAGGCATGGACTGGATTCCCTCATGTTGTGGAGATGCACATCTGTGTCACTGGACATACAGTAGGGCAAAGACTGTGTTTTTATGGTCATCTTTCCACTTAGCAGAGAGACTGGCCTAAGGCACCTCTTAATAAGTTAAGTGTTCCCTGAATAACTGAATGAGATAAGGTTCTTTCCAAAACTACCACGACTGACGAATTCCCAGAGAAAGAGATGAAGACAAATGCTTCCCACTGCCTCAGGAGTGTGTGTGTGTGAGCTCCAACAGCAACTTTCACAGTGGGTCACTGAAGCCTAGTGGTTTTTAAAACCAGATCCCCTACAGAAAAGGGGCATTTTTTTTCCAGTGCTGGAGTTTTAACCCAGGGCATTGTGCATGCTTAGCAATTACTCTACCACTGAGCTACTTCTCCAGCCCAGAAAACTAGTTTTTAAAAACACTTTATGTACCTTTAAACCCAGCAATCCCCCTTCCAGGGGTTTGTCCTAAGAATCATCCAGGCTCTAGTCCTACAGGTCAAAAACCTAAATATCTGTGGGGGCCAAATGGGTATTGCAACAGGTAGAAGATACTGGGTAAAGGACATGCAGGCTGTCACTGGAGAGTGGATGATAGCATGGTAGAGAGGGCTTGCCCACTATTGTGGCATCAGAAAGGGGATCCAGAGTAGCCAGACCTTATTTTTCAATAGGGTCCAGAAGTCTGTTTTAAAATGCTGGTTTGGTAGACTGCACAACTGTACTGTTTTAAAATGCTGGTTTGGTAGACTGCACAACTGTACCTAAGTTATTGCCCTCTTTCCTCCATGCCTAGTGTATAGCCCTCTCATACTGAATGTGACTGGCTTTGGTTAACAGGATATCAGCAAAAAGGATGCATATAGAGGCTAAAAAAGTGTCTGGCCAACTGTGCTTGCTTGCTTACTGCCTATGTGACCCTTGCTGTCACCACCAAGTGAAAAAGGCTGCACAAGGGCATGTGATCTGTTGCCCCAGGGAATCTCCTGCCTCTTGCCAGACATGACAGGAGACTATCCTGGCTCATCCTGCCTCAGCAGGTCCCCCAGCTGACCACAGTGTCTGAGCAAGCCCAGCTAGGTTGGCCCTGATTAGAACACTCAGCCAGTTCACAGATTTCTGAACCAAATTCTAAGTGGGTACATTTGTTGTTCTAAGCCAATACATGTTGGGGTGGTTTGCTAGGTAATAAGAGCTAATTGATAACAAAAGTAAAATACATTTATTTATTTTTGCAGTACTGGGGTTTGAATTCAGGGCCTCATGCTTGCTAGGCAGCTCTACCACTTGAGCCACTCAGCCAGCCCTTAAAATATATTTAGAGCTAAACAAAACAGGGATCCAGTTCACACTAACCTCTGATAAATGTAGAGATTTAGCAATGGATATTTCCCCTGCATCATTGTTTTTAACAGTGAAAAAAGATAATGAAAACATCTACCCAACAGGGAAGTGGTTAATAAGCAGTGGCTTATTTATGCATTGCCACTAAAAACGGAGGTGTAGGACTGCAGCAGCACACAGTCCTACCAACCTTTGAAAAATGTGCCAACATTGATCAAAAGGTAAAAGTTTACTGTCTTCCCAACCCCAAACACATTCTCTTGTTGTAATGGAATATGGAGCCAATGGGATCCCACAGCGTAGCATAAAGGACATCTTGCTGTCAAGGAGAGGTAAAAAGCTCAGAAGACAGTCCAGAACATGCTAAGCTTTGCTTTTTGAGGATGTGGGACAGTAAAGAGCTCTACTGGAAAAGTGACATGATTTTAAAGAGGGATCAAGCAAAGAGGGAGATGGTGATGGATGGCTTGATGGTGGAAGCCAGATATACTTGGTAGCTAAGTGTCTTTTGATCTCTTCAAAGGTACTGCCAAAATCTTTAGGACTTTAGAGTGTGCTTAAAACACAAAAGATGTTGGAAATCACGGGTGTAGCAAAGTCTTTAATGGTATTAGAAAGATAGTTATATGTTAATCCCAGGAAGCCAATTGTAAAATAGCAAGCACAATACAATCCCATTCTTATTATAAAGAAATGCAGGCATGGGAAACTAACTGGAGGGCAGAGAGCAAAGCTGGGTCTAATGGTGGTTATCTTTGGAAGATGGGAGTAGGAGCAATTCTTATTTTTCTTGCTATTATTCAAAAAGTTTTTGGAGCTACTAGGGTTTGAACTCAGGGCCTTGCACTTGCAAGGTAGGCTCTCTACTAAAGTCACACCCCCAAGTCATTGTTTCTTTTTTAAACAACATAATAAACAGGTACTTTAATTGTGTTGAGAGGATTTGATAAAAGTTACAGATTTAAAAACGTTAAGTATATGTATGAACACAGAACACCCCCATTGAAGTGGGACAAGAAAGTTTACTGTTGTTGCTGTTAGTATCTGCAAATGCCTGCCACCCACTGCACTGATTCAGAATTTTCTTGGGAGTAGGCAGTCCCTGGAGTCAGAGAATCTTCTTCCACACATAAACACATGGAATCCTTGCAGTCACCTCCCCTCCTGATCTTCTTGTGGGGTAGGCAGATGTTATGTGGCATCATTCTTCACACTAGAGGTATAAATATGGCAGTGTCTCAGCTGTCACTGCCACTTGGTGGTGGAGACACCCTGCTCATTATGGGCAGCAAGTTTGAGCTCTAATGGCCCCTCCATCCTGTCAGCTTTTCATGGCCTACTCTTCACTAATTGTCCCTTACTACCAACACAGCACAAGTGTCTTGGTGTGTGACAGATTCCTTAGGAACAGTGGGAATGTGACCCAGCACCAGACCCACTTCTTACATGCCAGTCAGATGCAGCAGAGCCCAGCTACTCTCGCTCTTCCATAAATGTGACTCTGAGTGGTGAGAACAAAAGCCAAAGCAACTCTACCAGAAATGTGAAAATAACAAAGTAACAAGTCTAAAGTTCAAAATGACAAGCAATTTATAGACAGTACTATAGAAGTCCAGTCTATCACTGGGCACAATGATGTGGCCAAAAGCATGAGTTTTATAAGATAACATATTATTGACTACAAGATAGAAAATCAAAGCTGATAAGACTTGTAGATAATCCTTTTCAATCTTATTCACTGAATGAGTGAACTGTGGACTGAGCGGTCCTCTTAGTAAAGGGATATGGGTTCCAAATGCCTAAAAGGGCATCAGCATACCACTGTCATCTTTGTGAGCACTTGCTTTAAGTTCACCTCTACCGCTCTATATCCTTATCCTCAGAATGGAGGGAGGTGACAAGTAAAATTTTTTTCCTTTCGAAAATATTCTGAGTTATATTAGAATTAAGAAATGGATTCCTCAATTATTAATAGTAATCCTAGCACTCAGAAAGTTGAGGCAGGAGGATTGCGAGTTCCAGGCCAGTCTGGGCTTCATAGCATAGAAAGATGCTGTCTCAACAACCAAAAAGAAGGATCACGAACTGGGAATGCTCACCTGTCCCTTTCTTTATTGGACCTATTGAAGAGATGATAAAATCACATCGCATTTTAAACCTTAGCAGTGAATGTGTCAATAGCAGTTCCTTCTCCAGTGGCTTCATCATTAGACACTATTCACTTGTCTATATGTTCAGCCAGCAGCAAAGTAACAGTTACCTCTTCCCGAGAGCTGACTGTGGGCTAGGCCTGGATGCACCCTTGGCAGACATCATAGCTGCAATCATCAGGAAGATCTTGGAGGTGTGTACAATCATTTTTCCTTTCCACTGGTGAGGGAACTGAGACTGTGATGATCACTTACCAAAGTGATGATGCAGGTGGCCTTGGATGAGGAGATAGAGAGAGAGAGAGAGAGAGAGAGAGAGAAGAGAGAGAGAGAGAGATTGAGATGAGAGACAAGCCTAAGCCTAATGGGGAAGCTGGGAATGGTGCCAGGGCCACCGGAAGGAAGACATATTCTAGCTCATTTTCCCCAGACAGATTGCTCCATCTCCATAAAAGGAAGCAAACCACTCATGCCTACAACGTGCCTCACAGGATTATTGAGAAGTCCAAATGAGATTATATAATATGAAAAAGCCTTAAAAATGGGACAGCTTTAACTAGTGAAGGCCAACTGGCACCATTGTAGCCCTAGGAGCACAACACCTCAGTCTTGTGCTGCAGTGGAAAGACCACGCCCTTTTATCCCTCCATTTAATGCTTCAGATAAACAGCACAGATTCTCTTCAGCAATCTGTTAAGGAGAAAGGGCTCTGACGCACTGTTGGCTCCTGACTTGACCTGTGCAGGAAGCTTCAGTGTCATATGCTTAACAACAGACATCTTGCCTGAGCTACTTACCTCGATGGGGCAGAAGTCACCATTTCATGTCAATTCCATTCCAAAGAAATGCCTGCTGTAATTTCATCCCTTAATTTATGCAATATAAGAGTGAGAAAAAACACACATTGCTTTCTCATGAAAGAGGCATGTTAGATATAGTAATTCATTTTTTATTATCTTAATCACTATGAATAGCACGTCCACAGTTCAGTTTCCAGGCAATGTAAAAGCAGATGTTTTATATATGGGACACCTACATGTAATGTGGTTACACATTGCTTTTTGTTGTTTATTTGTTTAGTTTTTGTCTTTTTGCTACATGGCATTCTTTTTGACCCACTATAGTTCACCTGGAACTCACACAGTTTAAAAATGCACAATTACAATTCAATCTTTTTTTTAATCATTATTTTTTTTGGTGATACTGTATTTGAACTCAGGGCCTCACGCTTGCTAGGCATGTGTTCTACTACTTGAGTCACTCTACTAACCCATAACTCAATCTTTAAGCAATTGAAAACAATGAGTTGGTACCAGCATGGGAGATCTACTGATAATTTGGCCTTTTAAGTAATGTCAGAGAGAAAACCTGTTTTCTCCTTCCATCTAAAGATCATTAAAAAGAATGAAACCAAACAAAAGGCTACCTGCTCTGAGTAAAGTCAGGATTGAGTGTGTGCGACCTGGGACTCGCTTCCGGTGGGCGAGGGGCACATTACTCCAGCAGGTGCTGGAGCACGGAGGGATCCACCTGCATGGCCTGGAGGCCCTTGTGCAAGCTCAGGAAGGTGGCCTGCTTCCCATAGCGCTGGCGCCAGCGGACAAAGGCTTCCACTACTTGCGACTGCACGTTGTGGGGATGGTTGGCCTTACAGCGATAGATATCAGTCTGGGACAGGCCCAGTGACAGCACCACGTGCTCCCACTCGGAGCCCAGCCTCTGGGCCAGCTGGTTAATCTGCTGGTCCGATGGAGAGCTGTTGAGGATGTGCAAGGGGATTCCAGTCACCTGGTCACCTGAGGAGGAAAAAGATGGGAAGGTGAGCCAAGCATGCTAACACTCAGATAGGGAAGCTGTGAGAAGGCTGGAGAGCACAGGCCAGTTCCATGTGCAGTTGGCTGATCCTGGTCTTCTGCCGAGCTGCTCAGTGCAATACGACGTTTCAGTGCTTCTGAAATGTGCTAGCATCTGTGAAAATGCTTACTACAGAAAATAAAAAGTAGATGCCTCATTACAGAACCTCACTTAGGATAACTTGGTCTAATTCTTTTCCCATATAGGATAACCTTGTGCACACTGCTTTGAAATAGGCTGTTTTCACTTCCATCTCTTTTACCATAGGACAAGTCAGGGGCTGGGGTGAGAGAGGGCTGAAGAACGGTGGCAGGGGTGGTTCCCTTGATCACCAGTCTGTGGGCCAGCAGGGCACTTGATCCAAGGCCCAGAATGCTCTTTCCTGCAGGAAGGGCTGCTGTTGGAGGGTCAAGGCTAAAGCAAACAGCTCCTCTCCCCTGGAGTTTCAACATGAAATACTACCAAGAAAAGATACAGTTGCTAACAGAAGCAGGGGTCCAGAATTCTATTGAGAAAAGACTGAACTGTAGAGGCCACAAAATAGGCAGAAGGGAAGAAAGCAGGGCTGGCTATAAGCAGCAGAGGCTACTACCATTCTGGCTGAGCCTACAAGAGGAACAGAAAGTGTGTGTTACAAATGAGCAATGATCTTATACTTCCTAAACTGCATTCCAGTCTGTCTGAGGCCCATCTGCTAAGGAGTATGACAGGTAATAAGTGGCTGTAAATGTGCCTGGAATAACCAATGAGCAGTACCATCAATTATACAGAAGAGGTCCTAACCTAGTGTGAACCAGCGGTTTCCTGAGTAAGGAGGCTTGAGCTAAGCCCTGAACAAGAGGAAGATGAGCTGGGTGAAAAGAATGGAAGGGAGTAGTGCATCCCCTTTGGAGGAAACTGCATGTACAAAGGCCCAGAGGCAGGAGAACAACAATACAGGAAGTGAAAGAGTTCATAGTAGCCAAGTAATGAGTTTGAGGTACTGCAAACATCAGAGGTGACAGTACCAGTTACAGGTTAGGTTCAGACATCTGAACAATGTGACAGGTGCACAACACTTGCTGTCTATCAGCATCACAGGGATTAGGGTCAACTCACCAGCCTCTGTTTAAATTTATGGTTCAATCAGAAGGCAAAAGAACCTATCAGAAGAACTGATGGCTTCCACAGCCCAGGCCTTTGGCCTTTAGGCAGTTAGTTGGCAATACCATAGGGATGATTGCAAAAATAGTGTTTGCCAACACTGCAACTTAAAAAAAGACGATGAAGCAATTAGAATAATGATAACACTACTGATAAATAATTTATATTAACAGTGATGATTTTATAAAAATATGGGTGGTTTTATAAAAATGCAGGCTCATTAAAAAATGTCAAGCAACACAAAAAAGTTCAGAGAAGAAAAGAAGGAAATCACCCAACATCCCAACTGTGTTCACAGTTGGGAACATCATTTTTGATGTCTCCTTATGTGCCTATACTGTAAGAAAGACAGGTGGATGTCAATTATACAATTTAAAATGACAATATAAGAGTTTTTCTTTTATAAATGCTACTTAATTTTATGTAAAGTTAACAGAAGAAAAAGCAGAAGTTAAACTAAATGCCTTTCTAACTGCAGCCAAATACTTAACATATATATGGTAATACAGAAAAAATTATGAAAACTTAAGGGGTTAACTACATGATTTCACATTAGTGGTGTATAATTAACACTCTCCCCCCTCCTCCCCTCACACCTCTTGATTTCTGTTGCTTTTATCATTTTTTGTGTGATGCCTGATAATTGTATGATTGTGTCACAACAATCTATATTCCACTTCTCGCCCCCAGCTGTTTAAGGCCATCTTATAATGGTCTCAGTGCTCACCAGTGTTCCTTTTTTGGTTGTTGTTGCTGTTACTGGTTTTCAGCTGTGGCATTTTTATTCCTGGTTATTTTAATTTGTGTCAACTGGTCCATTTTGTTAGAAAGTTTTTTCTCCCCTCAAGAAATGCTTGGAGTTGGAATATTCCCTGAATTCTTTCAGATCAAGATTGTCTGCTTATTGCCTTCTCTGGAGTAATAACTTCACATTTAGAAAACCAATTTTGTATAAATATTATTTTTAATATTATAATTTGAATTATGAATATACTTTTTTATTATATAATTTATTTTACTCCCCTTACAAACTTGCTCATATTTTATGGGAGGGAATACTGGTTTTGGAAAATTCTGGTATCGACTTGGTTATCTAACATTTTGTGTAACCTGCTTCTCTGTCTGGGGTCTACAGCACTGAAACTTTGACAGGGCATGTCTTTGCCATTCTAGATGTGCTTTCCAGCTATGAGGCATGACTTATGATCAAAGAGCAGTTCCTTTTTCCTTTCAGAAAAGCCTGCCTGTCTTATACCTTAGCTTGTGTTTGTTTATTTATTGTTGCACATGTTACATGCATTGCCTGTCCTCTATGGCTCTCTTTTTCTATCTGCTGTCTTAATCTTCCCCATATTACTTCAGGCCCTCTCCCTTATCCATGCCACTCATTGGTCTTCCAGCTATGTCTATTCAGTATTGTTTTTATTTTCTGTTTTGGTTCTAACCTGGTATTGTGTTTTTGTTCTCAACTTCATTCTTGGCTCTTACCTTTTAAACATTCCATTCTACTTCACTCCCATTATGATAGTTACTATAAAAAACAACTACCAAAAAAACCTGAAGGAAACAAGGGTTGGTAAGGATGGGGAGAAACCGGAACCCTCCATGTTGTGGAAAATAGAATGGTAATTCTTCAAAAAATAAAAACTAGACGTAGCATTTGATCCAGCAATTCTACTTCTGAGTTTATTTCTAAAGGAACCACCCCCCTTTTTTTGCGGTACTGGGATTTGAACTCAGGGCCTACACCTGGAGCCACTCCACAGCCTTTTTTTGTGATGGGTTTTTTTTTGAGATAGGGTGTTGTGAACTATTTACCTGGGCTGGCTTTGAACCATGATCCTCCTGATCTCTGCCTCCTGAGTAGCTAGGATTACAGTGTGAGCCACCGGCATCCGGCTGTACTCATGTTTATAGCAGCATTTTTACAACAGCCACTAGGTAGAAGCAACCTAAGTGTCCACTGACAGATAAATGGATAACCAAAATATGGTAAATACATGCAGAAGATTATTATTCAGCCTTAAAAAGGAAGGAAATTCTGAAACATCCTATAACATGGGTCAATCTTGAGGACATTATACTAAGTAAAAAAAGCCATTTGAAAAAAAGACAGATACTGTGAATCCCTTCACATGACTATCTAGAATTCACAGACTATCTAGAATAGTCAAATTCATAGACTATCTAGAATAGTCAAATTCATATGACTATCTAGAACAGTCAAATTCATAGAGACAGAAAGTAAAATGGTGGCTTCCAAGATGCTAAATTTTATGTTATGCATATTTTACCATAATTACAAATAAAAATAGAATCCCACTCCTATTTTATCATAACTACATTTTGAGCTTTCATTGCTACTGAATGGATACTGGGCTTGTCTATGGTACAAAAATTCTTGTGAGGTTGAGTTTTCCAGGATTGGGTTTTCCTTCACATCACTTTGGTTTCATGTTTATTGTTGAAAGCTGTGTTCCCTTCTCTCATTGCTCTGCTGTAGCATTTGCGTCGTCATGACACTCACTGTTATACTTATGCCACGAGCATCTCTGTCCAGGACTTCTGTTTACTGTCTTACGGGAAGCAGACATATCTTTGGCCCTGTCCTCACTTTCTAAGGGACCTGTTGTCTCTTTCTCCAAGCTACAATTTGAAGTCGACTGTGGCTTTCCACATGCTTTTCTGCCTTGAGGAGAAGCAGGCCTCATGGGGCCAGCTCTTACTGAGAGTTCTATGCTCTGTCCTCTTTTGGAAGTCAGTAAAATACCTCCGTTCTACCCAGGCCATTCCCACTCTTACCTACAACTCAGCACAGAGTCCAGGAGATTCTGTACCTTGGGTCACCTTCCTGCCTCTGCTGAGAGTCTTTTGGGTTTTAACCAAGGCTATCTGTACACTGACCTTTCAGCTAGATTCTTTGCACATGGATTTGTATTAGGAACAATTCTCAGGATTGTCCCCTGACCTTTCCCCAGAACTGCCCCAGGGGTCAGAATGGGTGCCTGCCTCCCTGCCTGTCACTTTTCAAAGGACCTGGTACAAAGCTATAATTTTTCTGTTTGTTTGCTGCTGGTGAATTTGGGGTGAGGTTTGTTTTGACTGCTTTTCTGTTCCTTGGGTGTTGGAGGAGGGAGCGTCAGTGACTCTGCTAAACTCTGTCATAATCTCTCTCACTCCTGGACAACACTAAATGTAACAGGCTGTGAGCCAATTGCATAGTAGTAAGGACGGACTTTGCTCTGATTCTTCTACACATTCAGGGACACATATCCCCTATGACAGTGCCACAGACTGGAAGATGTCAGAAGTTTCTAGACACAGGTTGAGGCATAGATACCTAGCATATACAAACTAACCACTAAGCAAATCAAGCCTTCCAGCCAGACATCTTTAGGCACACATAGGCAAGAACAGCTGTTTGCACCATGGGACTTCTATCTGGAAAAGTTTCCTCATGAGGTCTGTTTAGTTAGTGAATTCTGCTGAATACAGTTCCTCAAAACTAAGAGTCCTAAGGCTTTAGTGTCAATTCTTCAGGAAATACTACATAAAATCAGGCCACTCTATAAATGAGTCCACTGTGACTACTTGAACACTGTTTCTCAAAGGCAGTGCATACCATCAGCAGTGTGCAAGGTGCTGTCACGTGGTACAAGGATGAATATTCTACATTATAACAGCCATGCCCATGTTAATAAGGTGAGAAAATATAAATAGTATTTCAAACCCAGGATTGCAAAGATTAAGTAAATTAAAAAGCAAATATAGAATGACAAAAACGAAATAAACAAGAAAAGCCAATTAAAATACAAAGTAAAGTTAAAGAATGATATTAAATTAGTGGCACAGGTGGTACATAGATATGGCAAAAACTGCACAGGTGAAGCCAAATGACTGAGGTCTGGGAAGTCAGTGTTTGTCCACAAGTGCACCATGGGCAGGCCAGTGGACAGTGCTGTGCAGGGCCTTTCCCAGAGCCTTGCAGGCCTTTAGCCTCCCGTCTTGTACCTACTATGAGCACATGAGTTCATGTAGACAGGGATCCTCGAGGCAGTACCATCTCTGGTTAAGAACCACCAGATGCTGTGGAATAATAATTCCCATTCTAGTGTTTAAAACTCTAAGCAAGAATTGAGCTACTTTTATATGGACAAAATGTTCTCCTTTTTTACAGATCCTAAATCTTTCATACAATCTTTTAATCCCACTCTCAGTAAAGTGAAACTCACCTGTTTCAAAAGGAGCAAGATATACTTATGAACTCATGTACCGCAATGAAGACAAGGCTCCACTTAAAGGGATGGGG